GGGGGGGGGGGGGGGGGGGGGGGGGGGGGGGGGGGGGGGGGGGGGGGGGGGGGGGGGGGGGGGGGGGGGGGGGGGGGGGGGGGGGGGGGGGATGGGTAACGGTCTGCAAGCAAATGCCGGTGCCGATGGTTGCTGTTGTCTCCGACTCCCTCCGTGGTTGGTGCGACACGCAGCGTGGACACGTACGTGTACCGACGGTCCTCAGTGGCCTGGGAAAGCATTGGCGATGTGACTGCTGTCTGCGTTCCTGCTGCTGGGGTGGAATCTTGCAACCTCTTGTGAGAGGTTTGCTATTTAGATGTAGGTAGCAGGTCTCTCTCACCTAATAGCGGGACAAATCGGCGTTCCAAGGCCTGTGGCCAAACACCTCACGAAAAAAAACATGTCCGCGCTGAACTTTCTTCGACGACGACGAAGGGGAGCACAGAAAACCTCCCACCATCAGCACATGGAAAGCGGCAACCACCGACTCGAATCTCAACGTACCAGCACAACCACCAAGCCCATTCTTTTGTACACCCCGCCCCATCCACTGCGATACCTCCTCTCGATCGCTGCTGCTGCGGCCGCAAGCGTACACCCGGTATTCTTTCACGCTTAGACTCAAGAGTCAGTGACAATCACGTAAACAAACGACTACTTGCCAAAAACAAAAAAAAAACGCCGTTCACAACAGTAGGCAGGCTCCAACGCAAAACTCTGTCCGAACAGAGCCTTACCAGCAGGAAAGCGCCAACCCCGAACCAGAACCTTCCTTCCACGAGACAGTCAGCAGCACGACTGCCCTTCCCTCCCGTCCTCGCCGACCCTGCAATGCCAGCTCACCTCTCGCTGTTAGCTTTGCGGGCCGGTCCTTCCTTCAGCTTGCTCTTTCAAGGTGACGAGGCTTCCCGAACCAATGGAAAACCCTGCGTAAAAAAATATGATCCGAGCAAAGGATCCGAGACTAGACCTAAATACACCGGGCGCGAAGCGAGCTTGAGCAGCACGGACGCGGACACGCCGAGCAACGCCACCCGTCTTGCTTGTTGCACCAACCCATTCGCCTCGACACAGTGATGGCCCTGGGGTTCTCGTCGCCGTAAAAGTCTAGTCAGTCTGCTGCGTGAGACATCGGACGCTGCGGCTGAGCGATGCAGGCGTGTGTGTGCGGCTCCGCTCGTCATCCTACCATCCGTCTACTCTATGTAGAATGCATACACAAGCGATATTTTCCTCTTGGTAGATCAAGTACTATGCTTGTTCTGGACCTGGACCAATGTCAACAACCGACTGCACTCACTCCCGTCCTTGCCGGATGTCTCGACTTCAAACATCTCTATCGGAACCCACGTACACCGTTTATAATGGGTGGGCCGTGGTGCACATGTTCTTGCGCTTTGGAAGCGATCAGCTCGCCCATGTACGAGCACCGGCGGGCACCTCGTAGCTGATTATCCCGTCGCGCCCGATTTGAGAACCTCTCCGAATGGTACACTGCTGCTGTATCGTTAAAGTGCGAGTCATCGCATACACCCACCCACAAGGTGAGCCGACTTTCATAGCTAATATAAAAGTCTACCACGGTAGTCTATATTTAGACTATATACCATATTTTTTTCTCCCATGATTGGACTCAGTCGCCTGCCCCCCTATCCTCCACTTTTACCAGCTAGACGACCCAACCGGGGTCACATAGGAGGGGGGGTTGGACCCCCTCCTGCGGTTCCTCCCGGAGATATTTTCATCGCGAATAGGGTACAGCAATCCCTTACCTCGCGACTAATGAAGTCGATCAAGTTTAGCAACAACGAGCTTTGCAGCGCGTCTCTTCCAACGGAGACCAGAATTTAATTAGCGAGAAAAAACTCACTCTTTCGGGACTCGAACCCATGACCTGGCTCTTAGCAGGCTGCGAGGCCACCCACTAGACTACCGGGGCGACCGGTATATATGTAGCTCGACGTCTGCCCCGCAACCAAGAGAGCGCGAGAACTTCACGTACGTGCGAGGGAAAGCTACGCAGCATGAGATGAAGCCCACAGGAGGGCTTGTATCTGGACGGAACCACAACAAGCATTGGTTGGTACAGCACGAGCGCCAAAGCATGGGGCTGCATCATGCATTCCATCGTAGTGGTTTCCCCATCGTCCTGCCTCACGTGTAATGAGTGTCGCGCATCGCTCTCATGGCAACACCGTCGTCCGTCCCTGTACCATCCCGCATCACCACAACGACTCCACAAAAAAAACAGAAATATACGCATCTTCGAGCACGAGCACGCTTGACTTCAGAGGCAGGCTTTGCTGTGTCTCACCCAACAAGTCGCACCCACCCAACTTGCGGAGGTGGCGTGAGGGAAGCATGTCAGCGTCTCCGTCTTTACGCCGAGGGCGCAGGCCCCGGCCTGAACACACCAAGAAAAACGTCCTCCCAATGACGACGATCACAAACGCACTTTCCCCCGAGTCACCCCCCCCCCGCGTCCTCACCGTTGGGGTGGGCGAGCTTGACTCAAAAAAAGAAAAACAGCAGCCTCCCCGCCCGACAGGCGAGGAGGAGGGACAAGCGACGGAGCCAAATGAAGCTGGAATTCACCTGGGCGACGTGCGCCCGATGCAATGCCCCTCCCCCGGCAACGGCCACGTGCGCCGTTGTTCTAAAGGCACTATGTACCGGATGCATATTTCGCGTGTGAAGCAGGCCGCCCTGCCTTTAAGCTATCAGACAGCCATGAACTTTTAATCGGGTGGTATACTTGGGTCAACTTTCCCATGTCTATAATGTCCGCAGCGGGCCATGTACGACGCGTCGATGGGGTCGACTATCGTTGGTGTCTGTTGCAAGTTGCACCCAAGATCCAACGCTTGGGGCACCTAGGCCCATAACTGCTGTTGGGTGCTAGTGTAACGCTCGAAAAGGCCACTTCGCTACGGGCTATTGCAAAGCGTTGAATGGATCGACAACTACAGTCAATTCAAACGCCTCTATTGCACCGAATAACCACCTTTACTCATAGAGGTTGAATGCCGTCGCAGGAGATGCTTCCGATACGGGCTAAAAATGCGAAAAATCAATCGACTACCGTCTAAACGCCTAGATATCGACTACCGTCTAAACGTCTAAACGTCTAGAATCCATCACATACACAAGCTTTCACCACGTCCATGCTTATACGGTTAAATGCCATTCTAACGCTCGAGAAGGGTCGCAACACCGGTGGCGAAAGCTTTCTTTGCTCCTGGGGACACTGCCTTCTTCCCGAGGTAGACGTCAACCATCGCGCTCGAAAGCGGCCCGCTGGAAAAGAAACAACGGGGGGGGGGAGGGGTACTCCTGTTTCGCATGCCTTGGTTGTTTCACATTGACCACTCGTCCCCGGGAGGACGGAGGACCGACTACGCATAACTAATCGCTCTTTCTCTTGTGCCAAAGGTGGCTCAAAAATGTGTCCCCTATCCTATCGATACGAAGGGGTATGTGTGTGCATTCATATAGACGCATGCCGTTGTCGGTAGACCATAGACCTCGCGTCCCTACAGTGCCGGGACCAAGAGATGGACCGTTTTATCGCCGGTCCAGGACAAGGTTCGCAAGCGTGAACCAGAGGCTCGTCATCATCCTTCCGTTTTATGTGCCAAGTCAGATACTCCGATGGGTTGATTGAGCATCTCGGCGAACCACACGTGTCACGTTTGTCACGCACAACAAAAAAGTAGCTACATCCTGGCTTCGCGCTCGTCCAAAGCAGGCACATCCCCACAGCGATCACGCCGACTCGTGTGTGATACACACCAAAGTACAACCTGCTCATGTGCGCCAGGTGGAAATCCTCGGTGTGAACTCTAGGACCGAAGCCCCCAACCTCAAAGGGGGGGGGGGG